GTATAATACTCCGTCGTTGTAAATTGTAAATTACTTTGAGATATTAAAAATTAAAATTATTAAAAAATATTTACTCTAGGCAATTAATGACCTTTTTATAGTTAAAATAAGAAAAAAATGTGGAAATTTGGAGCAATAAGTTATAAAGGCTTTTACAAATGGTGAAACTGAGATCTGATCATTAATCACATTATTAATAAATTTATTTCAATTTTCAGCTTTTCTAATTTTTTTTGTTCCCAGTTAGATGACCTCATTTATGACTAAAACAGTTTTATATTTAGAGTGTTTTATGATTAGTTCTATAAATGTAAAGACCTGCAAGAACAAAATGAGCCCAAACCATTATTCCTCCACCACTACAATGTGGCCTTTCAGGGGTGTTTTTTATTTATTTTGGTCAAACGTCTACATCTGTCCAAAGATGTAGTAGAGACCATTTTTCAGACTTCATAAATGCTTTTATGACTGTTAAGAAGAGATAAACCCTCCAAACAATCAGTAAGTTATTCTGTAGTTTTATTTTAAAACATTTTTTTAACCTCAGGCAGATTATGTTGGAACTTCCACAACAGAGAGGGTTTGGCAGCTGTCCTGAACGTTTTTCACCTGTGAATCACCGTTCTTACTGTCAGCGATGGATTAGAAAGTGACTGATAACCCTCTCCAGACTGATTGTGTCTTTGAGTTCTCCAGACCAGTAAACTGTCAAAATTTATTTTGGCTTCAGTGTCGTTCCTTTAAAMTTTTGTCTTCCAACGCTGGCATAATTTAAAATGAGTATTTCTCATCAGAATTTGAAAATGTTCCTAATGTCAAGCAGTAATTAAAACCATTTCATGCAGAAGATTTCAAAAAGGAAAAATGTGTCTTATGTCACCTTGGTCCTGTTACATAAAACCTATTACATAAAAAATAGGGGTGCAACAATACATGTACCCGTATCAAACCGTATCGAACAGTGCTTTAGGTTCAATACTTGTATCGAACAACACAGGTTTTTAAAATTTACTTTATCAACTAGTCTTCTGAAGATGCTCTGTGTTAAAAGATCAGTGGATCTGTGTTCGACTACTCCACCTAGGCTGCATTTTTGAGCGCAGATCCTCTGAAAAACTTGCTGTTTCAGCAACCCATCCATCCATCCATTTTCTTCCGCCTATCCGGGGTCGGGTCGCGGGGGGCAGCAGCTTCAGAAGGGAGGCCCAGACCTCCCTCTCCCCAGCTACTTCTTCCAGCTCCTCCGGGGGAACTCCAAGGCGTTCCCAGGCCAGCTGAAAGACATAGTCCCTCCAGCGTGTCCTGGGTCTTCCTCGGGGCCTCCTCCCGGTGGGACGTGCCCGGAACACCTCACCGGGGTGGCGTCCAGGAGGCATCCTGCCCGAGCCACCTCAACTGGCTCCTCTCGATGTGGAGGAGCAGCGGCCCTACTCTGAGTCCCTCCCGGATGACCGAGCTTCTCACCCTATCTCTAAGGGAGAGCCCAGCCACCCTGCGGAGGAAACCCATTTCGGCCGCTTGTATCCGGGACCTCGTTCTTTCGGTCATGACCATAGATGAGGGTAGGAACGTAGATCGACTGGTAAATCGAGAGCTTCGCTTTCTGACTCGGCTCTCTCTTCACCACGACGGACCGGTACAGCGCCCGCTTTACAGCAGACGCTGCRCCAATCCGCCTGTCGATCTCCCGCTCCCTTCTTCCCCCATTCGTGAACAAGATCCCCAGATACTTAAACTCCTCCACTTGAGACAGGGCGACCCCGCTGATCCGGAGAAGGCACTCTACCCTTTTCCGGCTCAAGACCATGGCCTCGGATTTGGAGGCACTGAGCCTCATCCCGGCCGCTTCACACTTGGTCGCGAACCGCTCCATCGAGAGCTGCAGATCACGTTTCGATGAAGCCAACAGGACCACATCATCCGCAAAAAGCAGAGATGCGATCCTAAGGCCACCAAAACGGATCCCCTCAACACCTCGGCTGCGCCTAGAAATTCTGTCCATGAAAGTAATGAACAGAATCGGTGACAAAAGGCAGCCTTGGCGGAGTCCAACTCTCACCGGGAACGAGCCCGACTTACTGCCGGCAATGCGAACCAGACTCTGACACTGGTCGTACAAGGACCTGACAGCCAGTATCAAAGGGCCCGGTACCCCATACTCCCGGAGAACCCCCCACAGGGCCCCCCTTGGGACACGGTCGAACGCCTTCTCCAAATCCACAAAACACATGTAGACCGGTTGGGCTAACTCCCATGTACCCTCCAGGACCCTGTTGAGGGTGTAGAGCTGGTCCAGTGTTCCAGTGTTTCAGCAACATTTAATTTAAAAACTGGACTTCTGAGGTTAAACAAATGTTCATAATTAATTTAAATGGATTACAAGTTAAAAGGGGCATGGAAATTTCTCTTTTTATATCGAAAAAATATCGAACCGTGAGACTAAAGTATCGAACCAAACCAAATCGTGAATTTTCTGTATCGTAACAGCCCTAATAAATAATTATTACATAAAGAATTTTTAACTAAATAACGCATAATTGATAAAAGTTTTTAAAATCAGTGTTTGCACTCTTYATTTTGCCTTTAGCTTTCAGTTTGGTCTTCTTTTAAAATAGAGAACATTCAAAGAGCTATTTACAACAGGTAAGATATTAACTGTTAATGTTTCCACTGAACCGCACTTTGGAAAGTCCCTCTCTTAAAAAAATCTGTGTATTAATAGTGTCACATAACACCGGACATATTGTCATGTTATTGAGGAATGCTCTCTCTGGAACTACAGGCAGATCAGATTCATTTACTCTCTTTGTGTTATAATAACAAGGAAACATCCTCAACATTCATCACAGAAAAGAATCTTTCATCCATGTTTTCTTTGCATTTTCCAGTCACACTCAGTGCCTCATTATGTTAATTTCAGACCTAAAACCTTAAAAACCTGTTTGTCCAGGTGGAGGAGCCTCCTTCCTCCTGTCAGATCAGATCAGGTCAAACTATCCGTCGAGGAAGAGTCGAGACTTCCTGTTTCAAACCCTTCAGTCACTTCCTGCGTGTGACAGACTCCCAGCAGCTGCATCCAGAACCAGCTTCTATTTATAAACCTGCTGTCTGTAAACACTGCCGAGACAAACACACATGTAATAATTATATAATTATCTTTATCATGAATCAGATCTGCGCTCTCATTCTGAAATTTTAGTTCTTTAAAAGATAAATTCACATTATTTTGTTGTTCGTATCCGTTTTTGTCTTATTTCCAGATTTAAYTAAAAGAACCAGCATTAAAAACTAAAACACTCTGGAAGACTTTTTCTAGCCTTTTAGGGTAGTTTTTGTGGCTGAAACTAAGTTTAACTTTATTTATGAAATGAGTTGTTTAATACCATTTCAGATTTTTTAGATTAAAATGAGAGAATTTGAGGATTAAGCAGAAGAAAGAAGCCAGTATACAAACCTAACTATTTAGTCTTTGTGAGGAACTTTTTTAATGTTGGTCATAGTTTAAGTCTCACTTATCATTTCACAAAAAAAAAAAAAAAAACAACTTAAAATGGTGGTTTATGTTCTTCTTTTAAAACACATAAGCCTCTTTTTTTTTTGTTTTAAGGCTTTGAATGTCTCAGCATAAGGAAAAGTGTAATTTTTTTTTTATCTTGGTCATCTAAAATGGAGTTTTGTCATGTTTATATTTATAGACAGCATTGCACAAAAATATTTGAGTCATTCCTTGATTACTTTGCATCCAAGAAGCAAAACTATTTTTTATGTTATTGTTCCGACCCCAGGCCCTTCCTGGGATCAWATGTGTTGGGAGCTGATGGGAGATGGTTGGTCAGAGTCTCCCKTAGAGTTTATTTATGAGCAGAAGCTTTCTCACTCTCCTTTTTAGGTTAAATGTTGGTTCAGCTGAAAATAGAAAAAGTTATTTGTTATAGTCTTTGAACCAGGTCATAGCAAACTGGTGACTTGTCCAGGATTTGAAGCCCAGGACCTCTTGACTCCAACATGGTTTTGCCTTTGACCAAAAGCAAGAATTATTCTCCTAGACCAAATAATTGAAAGGCTTTCCTTTGGACTTTTCAGATTTGTTACTTTTTGTACCTGTTCTGTTGATTTGTTTAACTAATTAATTGATTTGTTTAAATAATTCAGAATAAAAAGGGCTTCTAAACTCAACAGATGAACCACTGTCTGAAATTAGATTTTAGATTTTTTGTAAACAGCAACCTGTTGCAAAGACCATTTGTTCAATCTGTGTAGCTGAAAATATAAAAAATAACAAAGAAAAAGCACTAAAAATGATTCTCAAGGAGCTATAAACTGAAAAGTCACACAGCCGATGATTAATGCTTCACTTTTTGTTGAATCATTTTTATTTTTATGAAATGCACAACTTTCAGAGACTGTTTATCTGCTGGAGTAAGTCTTTAAAGCTTGGTRTTTCTTCTTGTTTTTAAGCTCACACTGCACAGTAATGATCCGGTGCAAAACAAAGTCCGAACGCTCAAAGAACTATTGATCAAAACCACTTTAAAAGATTACAAGAAAACTTGGCTCCTTGGAAGCAAAGTGAAAAGAACTTAGAGGTCATTTCTAACATGTTTTCAAAGGTCCTTGTTTGTGTTCATTCAGCTCAGCTTCTGTTGGTCTSCTGCTCCGTTCACAGCTAATTACAACCTCTGCAAATCTGTGATGAAACATGAGCGTGTCGGGTCATCAGTGTCAGGGAAAGACGATCGGCTCCACAGCCCAGGATGACTCGAATACTTTCCACTGTCACGTTAGGGTTTCTGCTCGTTATGTCCGAGCTGCAGCTGTAAGTGTCAGGTTAGAAAGCAAACGAGGAATTCAAAAAACGACAACAGGAGCAAAACAGAAGTTTTTATTTGCAGGATCCATTTAGGTTTATCTGAGATATCATTATGTCAGGGAAAGCCTCAGAAAGGAAACCATCCAGCAGCAGGAACATGARGAAGCTCCGTGCTGTGAGCATGGTCTGCAGCCTGACGAGCAGCTGGCAGCAGTGGGTGACGGAGAACGAGTCGAAACAGGCCAGCGAGCCCACCGGCTGGGCTCCTGACTCACTCGGAGGAGAAAAAGAGGAGCCAAGAAAGAAATGGGCCCCTAAAAAGCCCCCTTCTGCTCCAACTCAACCGGCTACTGAAAGCAACGCAGAGACCCCAACATCTCAGGGAGCATCCAGCAGTAAGGAGGTTGGGACTTCACAAGATCCTCAGCCATCATCTCGCATCAAAACAAAGCAGGTGGTGAAGTCGGTGACCAGCAGCGCTCAGGAGAAAAGTGCCGGGATCGGCCTCCTGACCGAGAAGATCAAGAAGGACTCTCTGCCTTCGGGCGAGGAGATCGACAGGCTGCTGAAGAAGAAGAGCTCCCCCACGCGCCGCAGGAAGTGCTCCAACATGGTGTCCTCTTTGACCAAAAGCTGGAAGCAGGTGGAGAAGGAGAAAAAGCTCGTTAAAGAGGGAGGAGAAGTTGGGACAGAAAGAGGGGAAGAAAAGATGAGATTAGACAAAGAGGAGGTTCCGAAACCGGACATTTCAAAAGCAGAGGAGGAAGATGACCCTGAGGAGGAGTCAGTGAGGATAAAAAGACCTCAAGTCTCATTGTGAGTATTATTTAAGTCAAATTTGTTTATAAAGGCACATTTTAAAAACAACAGGTTGTTACTAAAGAGCTGAACAATAAAACAGGAAGTGATGAGGTCTGTCTAATGCTGGAGGGCAGATTGGTGAAAAAGTCGGATCTCTGAGCTTCAGTCTGGTTTTTGGGTTGACCAAAAGCAGCTGGTCAAAAGATCACAGGGCCCGAGAAGGAACATGAGGTCGAAGTAGGTCAGAGAGATAAGAAGGTGAAAGGCCATGTTGTCAGGGAGCCAGTGAAGGGAGGATAAAGCTGGTGAAACATGCAAAACAGAGTTAATGTGCTTATTAAACTTAAAATCAGTCTAAAATCATCCCCAGATTCATAACAGACTGCTTACTGGACTTATTGTTAAAGCTGTAAAAAATTGCAGCYGTTTGATCCTTAACGTCATCAGATGATTTAATAAAGAGTGGATGGATCATGAACTATTACTAGGTTTTAAGAGCAGGCAAAGCTGGCATTGATCGACATAATGAAAGGACAGACCTTGTTTCCTCAGAACAGACCCCAGAGGAAGCAGGTACAATGAGAACAGAAGTGGTCCGAGAATCAAGCCCTGTGGAACCCCATAGGTAAGAGGCGCTAAAGTGGAAAAAAATTTCCAACGTTAAAACTTCTGTCACTTAAGTAGGAATGAAATCAATCCAATGTTGCTGCTGTAATCCCAACCCAGTGTTCTAACCGTGATAAAAGGATACTATGGTCAACAGTATGAAAAGCTGCAGTARGATCTAGGAATACCAGGATCATGAAAGAATATCATTACATATTAACTGCTAAATGAGATTTAACTGTTTAGAGGAGCTTTCCTGAACAAAAAATGTCCCAAATGTTCACGGAAGAAGCCCTAAAATTTCCATTTAGGACATGTTTGTTTCTTCATTATGTGGAACAATCCGTATTTTAAACTGATTTGCTTCTTAGATACAAAAAAGAAGCTGAGGATGCCAACAAGATCAACGCCCTCTCCAAGAAACACAGCGCCGTGGGAAACCTGAAGAGCCGCTGGCAGAACTGGGCCGTGGAGCACACAGTTAACCAGAAACTGAACCCCTTCAGCGAATACTTTGATTACGACTACTCCATGTCCCTGCGCCTCCAGAAAGGCCAGGAGGGGTATGGACGCCCCAAGGAGGGGTCCAAGACGGCCGAGCGGGCCAGACGAGCTGAGCAACACATCCATCGTGAGATAGACGACATGTGCTACGTGATCAGGACAATGGCGGACCCGGACCCTGACGGAAAGACCCGTATTACRTTTGGAGAGCTTTTCGACAGATACGTTCGAATCTCTGATAAGGTGGTGGGGATTCTGATGAGAGCCAGGAAACAYGGAAAGGTAGCGTTTGAAGGGGAGATGCTGTGGCAAGGCCAGGACGATGGAGTGATTATTACTCTGATGGTGTGAACATTACAGCCAGGTCAAAAAGAAGAAATCTGCTGATGTGGTCTGAGATGTTTTCATTTTGAACATGTGTAATAACCTCAGTGATTTTCAGAAGAGGGTGGAAGTCTACATGTTTGCTGCTATTTTTAGTCGATACTTGAAAATTTAATTTATGTCTGATTTTAAGGATAATTTTAATTCCCTTTCTCAGAACCCCTCACTTTTAAAAAGCATTAAAGAGAAGYGTATTTTAGTTTGTTAATTTCTTTGACAATGAAAGGATCATCCAGATCTCAGGAAAGTCTGCTCAGTACATTCAGTCTCTGGTGATTGTCACAGACCTGGGCCGCTCCCRGGTCTGACCTCACTCCAGGCCTTCTGGGACGTCCTCGACACTCACAGCAGTGAGGAGTACTCATGAAGATAAAAGAAGGAATATTTTTTTTATTTCTCTTTTTTTGTTTGTTTTAATTTGACCGTGGATGGACTTTGTTTCTTTTAAATCACTTCAGACTAAATTAAGCATCATATTAATTAATAATCTACTTTATTGTTGTCTTTTCTGTGTGAAAATATCTGTAAACTGGAGTAAAAAGCATCTCAGTTTCTGTGATTTTTGACTTGAAACTACGAGTCTCCTCTTTCTTGAATTTTAAAAATGTTTGAACTAAAACTTTCAATAACAGGATGTGACACTTGAAGTTTTGCTCTTTGTTCAAGAAAGTTGAACTGAAAGCAAAATTACGTTTAAAACCTAATCATGTTAGGTTTCTTTGTGGAAAACATAAACTTGTTTCTGTTCTACGAGCTGCAGCTTTGAGCCATCCCTGTAAGCTGAAGAATCTGAGCAGACAGATGGCGAGGTTAAACCTGGGGCCGCCACTGGAGGGCAGGTTTTACAGCTGTTTATTTTTTTTAAAACTGCACCTGTTTGAACACTTTTTGGTGGTTGCACAGGTTTATCCATCACGTCTCAAAGATGTTACAGTTCTTTTTATGTTTTAGTAAAAATTCCTTTCTTYTTCTCCTGCAGTTTCTTCACTTCTCCTCAGAATTTACCATTAAAGAGCTCATTATACAAGATAAAAGTTGTGTATTATTAAATATCTGCAAGAGACTTTTTTTTTGACTATTTTATATTTAGTTTATTTTGTTTGTTCAGTACCATCAATGTCCTGRAGGACAAACTGATACAGTGAGTCACAGATATCAGCAAAGTGATCAATGAACCAAAATTAGCAGGTTTGGTTTATCAGTTTTATACCCATGAATTTGAATAAAATTACTAACTTGTTTAMTTAGAACTACTAAAAAATAAGTTAAAAAGACCTTATTATTATAAAGCTATAAAYTGATACATTTTAAAACTTTTTATTCAGAAATATTTCTGTTGTTTCTTTGCTTTATTAGGTACTTTTTGAATGAAAATTTTGTGCTTGTAATTTCACTTATGATTTTGAGATTTTTGTGTTTYCCCCTCTGTCATCAGTCTTTCTCAGTTTACAGGGGTGTTCAATCCTCAAGAGCCACTATCCTGCTCGCTTTACAGGTTATGTTTTAAATGAACAAATGAAACCTGCAGGATTGCGGCCCTTGAGCGCCCGGTTTAGATCCTGCTCCTCTCACCTTGTTTRGAGCTGAACTCACGTCACATAATCCCTTTCTGATTCGTCATGCCTCCTTATGTCAACGTTCAAGTTTGCTGCCACGCCAGCTTCTGCTTTTGATAGTAAAAGTTTAAGTCAATCTCTTGATCCTTCTGTGTTGATTCTGTATTTCCTGTGGGTTTAAGTCATCCTGACACAATGACATACTTATTGATGTTTGTCTTATTTCTTACTACTAACTTTGGTATAATTGAACTCCTGCTGACATGCCATTTGCTTGCTCAAACGTCCTGTGACAGACACCAAAATACAACACAACCGCACACTCAGTGCTCAGTGTAACGATGAAGAGRTAAACCAGAAAAGAAGCCCTGATGAACAAGAGAAATGTTCTGCAACAGAGAGATTTCCTCATACTGTCACACAGATTATCTTTTTTTATCACATCAYCTATCACCCTTTGTCCCAGTCTGCCTTTCCAGTGGGCTCCTCTGAGACAAAGAGTCTCAAAAAGACAGGATTTGTTGTGACACCTCTTTTTATTAACCATCACGCAACACCTGGATCGTCTGTGTTTTAAAAAAAGTGGCAACCAAGGCTTTCCCTAAATGACCTGGAATAATGTGGACTATTTTAAAATCTAATTTCTGTATTCATTAACACCATTATGAAAAAGCAAACAAAAAAATCACTTAAATGGGTGTACAGACTGAAATAAAAAGGTCAGTTATTTTTTTTTTTGGTGGGGGGTCAACTGTGACAGTAAAAAARCCACATTTGAGGGAGAGTCCCGAGGAATGATATGTATGTAACCATTCATGTGGTTGCCCAACCAGTTGGATTTCCTTGTTTGTAAGACTTTAAGAATGCGCTTTTACAACGTAAAGTGACAGTTCAGAGCTTTTAAATTAGGTTATGGGAAATGGTTATCCACTGACTATTATATGAACAGCCTCAATTTGGAGAAATATTACGTAAATCGGTGGTTTTGTTGTTTAATCTATTTTTAACCCTGTTCGTTTTAATAATCTGTGACCGTTGTTTTGCTAGAAACAAGGTTTTTGTGGAACGYTTAATAAAACAGTGCGGAAAGCTCCCGGACTACATTTCCCAGGCTGCTTTGCGGTGCGCTCGCGACTCGCCCGCAGCAAAGTGATGAAAACACGCCGAACAAGGTGGAATGAGAACACGTTGAGTTTTTATTTCGCCTTCTCTCTTCGGAAGTGATGCCCGAGCGCGAGGAGTAGCGGCATGGCTGTCGAAGGTAAGGCTCCTTCGCCCCGGAGGTGACAGCTTTCGGTTTATTTTTCTTACGGCTTCCTCCGGCGGTCAGACGCGGACTTGTCTGTCGGGTCTGCCGTGATTGGGTGATGTTGGCGGCAGAAACACACGGAGCGCTTTTAATTTAACACACACCGCCGGCGTTCTCCGTCGTGGCTGGGCACATAAACGCACCACAAAGCCCGTGAACGCCTCTGTTTTTGTTGTGGAGCTCTGCGATTGGAGAAAGCTGGTTAACAGGTTTTTTTTTTTTTTTTTTGCATAATCACCTCTGGTTTACCTGGCACCGAGTGTTCTCAGGAGGAAGAAGAAGCTCTAAGTTATTTATTTAAATTTTATTTTGTGTGTTTATAGATGATAGGCAGAGTTATTGTGTTTTGATGCAACAGACCCGTCATCAAGGCAGCAGGTGGACATGTGCTCATCTTCCTCGTGATTGTCAATTTACATTTTAATTAAAGGCGCTCGTTCTGGGAMGTTAAAGTCGGGATGCTCGGTCAGTCTCCTCACCTCATCGGAGGCATCTTATGGACCCAGAATCCAATGAGAGGTATGGGGATGGGGGGGTTGACGCAGAGAAGCTGTGGGACCTGCTTCCCTTTCAATCCTTGTCTTTTTCCTGTTTTCCTCTTCTGGTTTGTCCTGACTGGTGTAGTGGTGCTGTGGATCAGGGTGTTTATCCCTGACAGCATCACTGTATTTATGTAAAACAAAACAAAAAATAGATTATAGGAAAATGCAGTCTTACTGTTGAGTGTTTTCTTGTCTAATATCTATTGTTCAGTGTTCCTCGGGGGCCACCATCCTGCATGYTTTAGATGTTTTTCCTGCTTCAACACACCTGATTTGAATACACAAGTGATTCCCAGGCTTCTGCAGAACTTTAAGACCTGCTAAGGAGCAGGAAAGCAAATAAAACATGCTGGATAGTGTCCTCCGAGGACAAGCGGGGTTCTGGAGAGGTTTATTACCTGTTGTATAGCTCTTTGAATTACAGTGGGGAGAACAAGTATTTGATACACTGTTGATTTTTCAGGTTTTCCCACTTGCAAAGCTTGTAGAATACTAATTTTTATCATAGGTACTCTTCAACTGTGAGTGATGGAATCTAAAACAAAAATCCAGAAAAATACAATGTATGATTTTTAAATAATTTCCATTTTATTGTGTGAAATAAGTATTTGATACACCAGAAAAATGAAACTTAATATTTGGTACAGAAACCTTTGTTTGCAATTACAGAGATCAGACGTTTCCTGTAGTTCTTGACCAGGTTTGCACACACTGCAGCAGGGATTTTGGCCCACTCCTCCATACAGATCTCCTCCAGAGCCTTCAGGTTTCGGGGCTGTCGCTGGGCCACACGGACTTTAAGCTCCCTCCAAAGATTTTATATTGGATTCAGGTCTGGAGACTGGCTAGGCCACTCCAGGACCTTAAGATGTTTCCTCAGAAAAATCAGATGGGCTTTGACATGCTTTGGCTTAAGGAAGGGCACCTTGCGTGCACTGCAGGATTTTAATCCTTGACGGCGTAGAGTGTTACTGATTGTTTTCTTAGAGACTGTGGTCCCAGCTCTATTCAGGTCATTGACCAGGTCCTGCCGTGTAGTTCTGGGCTCATTCCTCACCTTCCTCAAGATCAATGATGCTCCACGAGATGAGATCTTGCATGGCGCCCCAGACCGAGGGAGATTTTCCGTTATTTTGTATTTCTTCCATTTTCTAATAATTGCACCAACTGTTGTTGCCTTCTCACCAAGCTGCTTGCCTATTGTCCTGTAGCCCATCCCAGCCTTGTGCASGTCTACAATTTTATCCCTGATGTCCTTACACAGCTCTCTGGTCTTGGGCATTGTGGAGATGCTGGAGTCTGATTGATTGAGTGTGTGAACAGGTGTCTTTTATACAGGTAACGAGTTCAAACAGGTGCAGTTAATACAGGTAATGAGTGGAGAACAGGAGGGCTTCTTAAAGAAGAACTAACATGTCTGTGAGAGCCAAAATTCTTACTGGTTGATAGATGATCAAACACTTATTTCACACAATAAAATGGAAATTAATTATTTAAAAATCATACATTGTATTTTTCTGGATTTTTGTTTTAGATTCCATCACTCACAGTTGAAGACTACCTATGATAAAAATTAGTATTCTACAAGCTTTGCAAGTGGGAAAACCTGAAAAATCAACAGTGTATCAAATACTTGATCTCCCCACTGTACCTTTTGTTCTATAAATTAGTCAAAAGTTAGTCAGCCGATTAATCAATCCTACACATCTTTAGGCAAATGGACAACATTGGCAAAACTGTGATAATTAATTTGACAATTAATAGATGACAATTACACTTGCTTTTTTTAAAACTATAAATCAGTTACGCTGTGTTCTAAAAATGTAGCTACTTGCAAATCATCGCTCAAACTAACTTATTTTAACAGGGTAAAATAGTAAGCTGTGAGTTGAAGCCCACCTGTGTCGCACATTGGCAAATATTAACTGGGACGATTATTTGCACATGATTTTGCCCAATTCCACTCCAGACTGCAGATTTTCAGCATCACGTCGTGATTAAGTGTTAAATTTCTGATGATTTATCTCCCTTAGGTTARAAACTAAATTTTGCACAAATGGAAATTTTTGTTGTTTTGTTATTTTGTTGTAACACTTCTTCTTAGTAATAAATCTTAAACTGGGCATCAGGGGGTAACAGAAGCTCAAAACAAGTAACAGCAAAATAAGGTGTTTGGCTACAGCAGAGAAGATCTGGCAAATTTTTCCTGTGTGCAACCCACATCCTCAGCTCTACTGCTCATCCCACAAATGCGTGATCCTTACAAATGTGGCACCATTTAAAAAGGAACTCAACAGGCTTTCCCACAAAATAAAATATATTACCACAAAGCAATGATACAACAAAGAAATAATCTACTAAATTTAAATTTCCATAAGTTTTGTGCTAAGTAAACCTTTTATACAACACTGCACAGTTTAGTTTTATCCATGCATCTCTTTGTTTGTGAAGCATTAAATACAATGGAACAGTTTGTCTTAAAAGTTGAACTCTATTATAGAGCTGGGCGGTATGACCCAAATTTTATATCACGGTATTTTCAACAATTACACCGGTTTCACGGTATTTGACGGTATTTTTTTCCTCACAGCTCAGCTGATAATAAAATGTACATGCTTACTGACTTTTTTTCTTTTACTGTACCTCTGTATCATTGTTTCCCTCCTTGTACGTCTTTTCTTCTTTGCCTTTTTGTAGACAGTAATCATGCATTTAGGTCTAGTCGTGAAGGGTTGAGGAAAAAAAATCMTTSTCTGGTCTATCGTTGCGCGTTAATAAAATTTAAAACGACAACTCACCTTGCACACCAGTCAACTTCGCTACGCTAAGAAACTACTTCCCCCCTGACTTTTCACAATAGAAGCACGCTAGAGTTTCCATGCCATAATGTCTCCGTTATAACGTAGCACATTAAATCTAACCATGCACGACACTGAAGAGTTGTTTACTACATTCAGCGATGGTGAAAACAGGATGTGTTTTTTTTAACGTCAGACCATAAAAGCGGCTGAAACACACCACCCGCCGCCAGTTGTTCCAACAATAACGTTAGCATGCTAATGCGCTTAGCGGTGCTGCAAGGAAACGTGTCCCCAGGGAAACAGTTCACAGGCGGCCGCGACGAAAYGTTCCGCACGTGTTCAGGCTATTTACACCRGTATTCAGAAAAGTCATATCATAACAAAAATAAAAACYGGTTTTTGGTACAAAACGGTATACCGCCCAGCACTACTCTACTATCAGATTGTATTTGTTTCAAGCTCTTATTCGTATTATTTATTTAACTGGATTGAGTTTGGCTCAGACTTGTAAGAGTCACTTTAGAAAAAAAACATGTTTTTATTATTTGATTTTCAAACAGAATGAATCCTTTAATTTGAGCGGTTTCGGTGCATTTAGTCTCGATTCACTGACTTGATGATTTATGAGGAACATCTCTAAATCCAAAGTCAGAAACAGGGAGAAAATCTCAAAGCTTAAAGTAGCATTTCCAAACCTTATTTTACAGATGGAAAGAGCATCAGAGTTAAACTCAATTAAATTAAAAAAAAAGTCTTTAACGAGACTGAGCATGCTGAGACATCTATCTTAAGAGCCATTTAAGACCTTTTAAATTTACATCCATTTGGAATAATCAGATCACTAGAATGAGCTAAAACAGGTGCTTCATCTCACAAAATACAACCCACTCTCCACAATTGACTTCTTGGATTGTGGCAAATTGGAAAAATCTTTTAGTGTGATGGAACTCATGCCTGTGTCACCAAATAAGTTTTGAATCCTCGCCACACTGAGCCTTTTGGGTCTAACTGGGTCTGAAAGATGATTTATTTTGTTTGAATCCTGACTTCAATTCTGCAAACCCTGCTTTTACGTTCATTCTCTTTTAGTACATAATGTTACTGTTCTCACAGTAACACATCTCTAAATTTGCCACATTTGACTAAAAATAGTTTGTTTTTGTATTAARCTTTTAATTATTTATGACAGAAGCTAAACTGTCTCTGTGGGTGGGACCAAACTCTGCAGCAGCATCACTTTTTTTTTTATTTTAGGAACAAAACGCAGCTCTGCAGTGTCACTGYTCTGTGCTAATAACTCCTCTCAGACAAAATATAGGTCACGCATTAAATAATTTACAACACATAAGAGGACAATAAAGCCGAGTGAGAGAAACCTGCACTCAGGAAAGTAAAGTTCCACGTTTGGGAGTGACTTTTACTTAGCTGCGTTCAGCAGATTCAATGTAAAAAAGCTACAAAAATGTGTGCATTGCTCTTCTGCGGTAACGCATCAAGTCAGCAAATTATTTGAATTACACTCAATGGGGAGATTTAATCAGGTTTAAAAAAAGCTTTTAAAGCTGATGATGTTTAAACAGAATTGCCTTTCTTTCTTGGATGTTGGAGATTATATCAGATTATGACAATAAATGTTCGATGAATGCAGCTCATGTTATTTACGATAGGAAATACAGAAGAACAGGATTATCCAATATTTTCTGCAGCAAAGCGTTTAGCAGCTTTGTTTGTTTGCCTTTTTTTTGTAGCGGCCACACTATGATCTACTGCCAGGATGTCCTCATCATTCCTGAACTGCACGGTCCTCAGGCAGAAATAAAATAAAATAACTAAAAGACGAGGTTGCATTTCTGCACCATGATTTTTCAGATGCTTTCTGGAATCAAATATTTAGAGGCGTCTGCTCTTATTCTTTCTGTTTGTCTTTGCAAGGCTGTCACCTCTCCTCACCAGTGTGTTGGTTGAAAAATAACATTGAAAGCATTAAATATTTTGATATTAATGGCAGTAAAAAAACCATAAATTATCTATTTAGCTTGTTTTGAGGTCTTAAATGGCTCGTGTTGTAGTGAAACGGGGGTCTTCCGTGTTTGTTTACATCTTTGTGCCAATTATCTYTGCTCCTAATGGACTGCTTTGGCCATTTTCCTAAATGAGCTGGTTGTTGGTTTTGTTTGTAAACCCTCAAAGCTTTTGGACCTCATTTGCAGAACTCTCCTCCAAAATAAAACAGCTTCAGTCTGTGCTAACCCTGATCGACCAGTACAAATAATCCCAGTAATGAGCCTGGAGAACGTTTCCTTTTTTAAATTTAATTAGAAGAGAGGCAGGGATGAGGCTTTTTACAGTAATAAATGACTGTTTCATGGATTTTTTTGACTACACATTCACTCACAGAGCATCTCGTCCAGTCGCAGCAGTGTTTACCCCCGTGGCTGAAGTTGTTCGTTTCAGTTTGCCTCCCTGAGATGTCCTGCCTCGCTCTGGCAGCCTATTCACCCGTTCAGAAAACAGGATCTAACCCTGTATCAGCCCCAGTTGGATAAACGTGTTTATTTGAGTCACTGAAAGTGGATTACATCTTTTTTTTTTTAATTCAAATGAATCAGAAGCTGCTATGGCACGTTATCATCCCAGTCCTATTCAGCAGGATTGGCATC